GGATAATAGATTCTAGCACTTTTACAGCATCTCCCATTTCAGGTACTTATCAGAGGTCATTTGCACAAAAAGTCCACAGTAGCAGTTGACAGCAATGCTGAATTATTCATCTTAGCTATTAAAAATGTCCATCTAAATCACTGTAGCATTTCTTTCAGAATCCACCTTTTCTATATTTTCAATGTCATGGATAACTTTTCTACATTTTCATCAATTAATCAACAATTTTATCTAGCAGTTACTTTGTTTTTCTAGGTACCAAAGAGCTCCCAAAAAAGTATAAGACACAATACCTGATTTATAAGGGTTGCAATGAGGTCAAAGTTACAATGCTTATCGGAATTAATTGGTGGTTTTGTGCCTAACATCTGAAGAGCATATAACCCCAACTCTACCCCAGCAAGAAACTATCCTAGAGAATGTTTTCTTATTAGTAAACATCTACAGAGAAAATATTTAAAAGTTAACTTTGGCTCCAGCTACTTAAGAATGCTTACTGTTGAAATTACTCTAGAATATTGGACAACCCTGGGCATGCTTTAAAAGAAGACTCAAGACTTGAACTATTATAGATGATAAGAAAGGCTTTTCAAACTCATAATACCTGACTTATCCAAAGACCACCCTCATATGCTGAGTGCTGTTGAAACCGAGGCAGTAAGCCAGGGGAGGGGAACCGCAAAACAAACCAAACACGCTCCCAGCAGTCAAAAATAAATGTCACAAAACTGAAATTCCTTTGCTTTTCTCACAGGTGAGGCCCTCCCAGGCCAGCCCCACTTAGAGTGTTCCTTTACTTGCAGTTCACCCATACTTCTAACAAGCTTGGGCATGTGATTTTCTTGCATATCATAAATTAGAAGCAGCAAATTAGAAGGGAAGAAGTTGCTAGCATAAGTACTGTGGGAACAGCAAGACATAATGGGATGCAAGTCAAGAAAAATAATACCTGCTACAAAAAATGAGCAAAATAACTATTTTATGAAGTCAATTTATTAATAAATAAAATAATCGCTTATAGGAAAAATATTTCAATTGAAATTTCATTTTCCTCAAAAACATTCAGCAATTTTTAAGCTGCGTAAGTGGGGCCTAAATTAGTGGAAGAGATTTCAAACAGAGATCCATATTTTAATGTCCTATGACTCAGGATATGCAGTAGGGGAAAATCAATTATTTCTATAGAATTGGCCATCAAAGCTTGTTCAACTGTACATGGTGAATTAGCAGTAACTCATTATCCAGTGGTCCAGAGGAATTAATGCCACATTAAGGAAGCATCTTGTTGATCATTATGGCAAAATATATCATCCACTCATCCTTAAAAGGTGAGAAAAAGTAATGAGATCAATCTTTGTAAAACTACAAAACTACTAGTAATAAATCAATGACTTCATTAGTAGAGATTACCCACACTCCAATATATGTAATTACATAAAATGGGGGAAAAGACTGAAAGTAAACATAATGTGATCCACATTTTCCTTCCTCTCCCTTACCACCTTGCTATACACCCCTGCCAGTCATCCTAAGGTCCATTTTGCAACTTCCTTCAAAGGGAATCCTTCTTGTCTCCATTATAAAATTCACCAATAAATATATTCATAAATAAATGCAAATCCTGGGCACATTTGGCTTTTAGAATCATATTCTATGTTTGTTTTCATGTATAAATTTTGCCTGTTATAATCTTCCACTTCCTTCTTTGCAATCTCTCTCTCCCTGATTGGAAGGTGTTACCTTTCTCTGCAACATTCATCTCTACTAATTTATCCCCAAAGATCATCTTGGAATCTTATTTATTAGCATTCCTTAAACATTTACCATATGCCGGCTGACAGGGTTGGAGAGAATAATAAATAGCCTTCCATTTCCCCAGAGATGTCACTCATCTTCTTTTCACACTAATTCCCTGAATTAGGTTCTATTATTATTCCCAATCTACATATGCAGAAATTGAGGCTCAGACAGGCTGTGATTTGTATATATACATATAAACACATATGTATGTCCGGGCATGGTGGCTCACGCCTGTAATCCCAGCACTTTGGGAAGCCGAGGCAGGTGGATCACGAGGTCAAGAGATCGAGATCATCCTGGCCAACATGGTGAAACCCCGTCTCTACAAAAAAAAAATACAAAAATTAGCTGGGTGTGGTGGCGCGCACCTGTAGTCCCAGCTACTCGGGCAGCTGAGGCAGGAGAATTGCTTGAACCCAGGGGGTGGAGGTTGCAGTGAGCCGAGATCACGCTACTGCACTCCAGCCTGGCGCCTGGCGACAGAGTCAGACTCTGTCTCAAACACACACACACACACAGACACACACACACACACATATACAAACTTTAGAAATATTACTTGAGTATTCAAAGAGATTCAGGTATAACATCAACTGTATCTGGGTAGATATTCAGTATCTCCTTTATTGATCTAATATTGATGGACAACTCATCAGTTAGCTCCTGTCACTAATTACAAGTTTGCTCAATTACATCAATCTAATTGATCAAATTCCAGAATTAAAGAAAAACAAAAACAAAAACACATGGTATACCAAGGTAGAGTGGTAAGACACACATGAATTTAATAGCTAGATCAGACGTTCTTTAACAAAGTGAATAGCTTTGGTTATTGTTTAGGGAATGGAGAGGCTGCTGAGAACATGGAAACTAGCCAGACAGTTAAGAGGCTCTGAAAAAGATAGAAGAATTTGGGTTTGCCTGTATGAGAAAGTGAGATTGAGCCAGAAGGATGTGGGCAAAGAAGGGCCACCATACTGAGAGGCTGAGTTGCTCTGTGAGATGGGAGGGACAGGACAATCGTCCCTGTGATATGAGTTTGTTTGTAAAGAACAAAATATACTTTTAAATGTGCTGTCTGGTGTGCACTCATTGCCCTGTGCTTCAGATCATCAGTAAAAGTTTTGCTACTGCAAGAACCTTAAGTTCTTGATTGTTTTTATGGTAGATGGATTTCAGGATGGGGCCAAGAAGGGGCTTTGTCCGCTGTTTTGGTGGACACCAGAGTGGTGATAAAGGAGCAGCCAAAGGGAACAGAGAAAATACCTTCAATGAAAGCAGAAAATAGAGCAGTGGTGATCCTGAAAGTATAATTCCTCAGAGAGATACTAGAGAGCTTTGGATTTTTACCAGAATGGGAATTTGAATCAATTTATCCTGATCTGAAAGGGCCGGAAAAATCCTTGAGGATATCCAGATTACATTAGAGAATCTGAACCACCTAGGTTGATTTTTGTAAAGAACAATGTTGTATGCTAGAACTGAGGAAAGGATGATGGCAGAGCAGCTTCTTAAAAATAAATTTGAATATATCAGCATGTGCAGTCAACTAATTTGCTGACTTCAGAATAGCCTGATGAAGCTCCTTGCCTGTTAAACCTATTATTGTCCATAATGAAAGATTCCATATGAACTAATCACAACATACAACCTTATGTCTGATCATAGCTTCTAAAAATTCATGATACAGGGATTTTTAGTTATACTCAACACATTTTTTCCTTCAGAAACCGGATTGGTTGTTTTAGATGCCGTGACTTATATAAAATAAGCTCATAGTTGGAAGAAATCTAAAGGATCAAGCATCCCTGAGTTTCAAACAGAAACTTCCACTGAATACATTCAAAGGTATGTGGATTTTATTTCTAATTTGATATTCTTTTTATTGTGCTTCTTTCTCTGCATTGTTTTTAAAAGATACAAATATATTCTACATTTCTAATACTATATGCCATCAATAATTTTTAGTTGGCCCATAATTAAATTAGACTCTGATTACTGAAATGATTTTTTTTTCTTTTTACTTTCTAATGCAACAAAGTGCTTGTCTAATTCCAAAGCTCTTTTGGGGCCACATTTCACAGTAAAATATTTATTTTAATTACCGATTAAAGTAAAAATAATACTTTCATAGGCTGTGATCTAGTACTTTGAAAAGCTTTTTATTTAATTACATAAAACAGAACCATCAATGAAATGTTTTCTCTCATTAACCCAAACCCAAAAAAAAAAAAAAAAAAAAAACACAAACAAACAAACAAACAAAAAACAAATTTAGGAGGCAGAAAATTTCAGTGTACTTTTCATAGACAGCATTATTCCATGTAATATTCACTTCCTATACAAAATTTAAGGTCTTTCTTCTGACGATTTTCTAAGTTAGTCAATAATTTGTGCCATAAATCAATGTCCACATTTTAGGATGACCTGTTTTGCTTACTATCCCAAGGATCTTATTTATAGAATAATACAGTGCAACATCAAACAAAAAGAAGATTTCATTGACAGAAAATGGAACCTCTTAGGGAGAAATTATTCAAAAATTTTAAAGAATCACAGATAATTAGTACCATCCTCTCCTGTTGGTTCAGCCATATCTTTTGCTCCACAATCTGGAGCTCAGAGATGTTGCTGGAGTGTCTTACCTGAAGATCTATAGATAGGAATTTCTGGAACTAAAATCTACTATCTTGGCAAATTAATACCTTTCTCAAATGATTAGTTTTTAACAGTAGTAATGCCCCAGCAGACTCTGTAGGGTGCATTTCTGTGCCCCCTTGTTCTGAAATTATAAAATACCGTGCATTTTGATGATTTTCCCATCCTTCAGAGCCAACTTTATTCCTTTAATCATTAATTATAAATACCATTTAGCTTCTAAGACTATAGGCTGTATAGGCATAGGAAAATGGCATGCAAAGTCATATAGGGATAGATCATTCATGTCCCTGTATAACTTATTCAGCCCTCAACCTAAATTAAATGTAACTTTATCACTATTGTGACTCCAGAAACAATGAAATAGTCTGAGAGCTGGAACTCACATACGACTGAAGTAAATGCACAAAGAATGGCTCCATCTTTCTTACTAGCAGTAGACTAATACAGATTATGTGTGTTTTATGGAGCATTCATTAAGTCCATGTTTCAGAAGAGATAAGATAAGTGGATGTCGACTTACATTTCAGAACCATCAAGAAATGGGGACCTGGATTTTGTTTGCCTGCCTCCTGGGAGCAGCTTTTGCCATGCCTGTGAGTAAAACACCCCTTGCGTAAGTCAGTGTCCAATTTCATAAACTTAGCGATAAAGGTCTGTCCCATGGTTGGTGAAGTTAGGGTTTAAAACAGTATGAGATAAGATGTCTTCAAACGTCTCTGGGTTGAAGAAACACTTCAGGAGCTTGTTTTAAAAAGATAGATTCTCAAATGCCTCCAGCAAAGATTCTGATTTGGTACAGCTGGGGTGGGGCCCAGGACTCTGCATTTTTATGAGCACCACAGGAGATTCTGTTGAAAACATTAGCTTGTATGTATCACCACCCATCTCTAGATGGAGGAAGCTTTTGGAAGGGAGCCTTGAAAGGTCTCTAGAGAAAGTGCTTCACCAGCTTTGGGCAAATATTACAGAGATGCCAGTTTTGTCTAAAACCAATTCCTCTGAAGTTTCCAAATTTCTTCCTGCCCTCCACATATTGTTGCTGTTACCCCTCAGGGGGTAAGATTTTTCTGTTAGGAATCCATTTCTTGAGCCATCTTCCTGTTCTCAGAGTCCCCACCTTTTTGAGTGCGTCTGGTAAGTAAGTGGTTTTCTTGCCCGGGATCCTGCCTATACCCAATACATAGTGATATATTTTATATTCAAATGTATTAAAGATCAGGACGTCAGATCTACTCTGTCTGGACACAGGTGCATAAGGGCAGAGAACTTAGATCACATGCATGCCAAGCAGGCTGCATCTGCTTTTTGGTAGCATAAAGAGCAGTTGATACAACCAGAAGCCAGCAAGCCTGCATACCTGCCTCCTCTCTTCCTCTCTCACCCACAAAACCAAGATTCTATGCTCTGACTTCCTGAAATCCTGCATTGCGGTAATTCCTAGTTTCCTGAGGGGTCCCTGCATTACAAATTCAGCCTTTTCCCACTCTATAAGATGGCATTGATCAAGATGGTATAGGGCCTGACTAAAACCACTGACATCCAGATGAGAGTGAATAAATCCTCCTATGAAATGCAAGCATTTTAAAAGAATATAATAGAGCCAATCCTAAATGAGGCCAATGTCTGAGGGAGATTTTCTGTAGGACCATCTCTCCTCTCCCTCACCTAGACCCCAGGCACAACCAGAGTTCCACAATGCAGGCAACAGATACTTGGTCCCCACTTTTGAGAGGATAGACATCCCTGATTCAGATCATTCAGGTGGCATTTCTAACTTTAAAATTTTTCTTCTATAAAACCATTGGCAGAATAATAAAAAAGTTTGGCCTAAACATCATAAATCAACTCTTTCATTTTCCATGAGATTTATAATGTTTCCACTTTGCTCCACCCATCTTGTTCTGGCATTCATCAATAATTCCCACCTTGTGGTTTCTTTTATGGGTTCTTTTGTTGTATGGATGTGTTGTTTCCTTTCATGTCAAATATGAGAAATCCCTTTGATACTTAAAGTACTTGACCACCTCCTGATCTACAAGGGAACATTTGTGAGACGATTCTCTCCTTGTTGATATTTCTTTATTGTGTAAGGGAAACATACTTCTCTCTTCAATATGGGGTGAGTTTGATCAGAAAGTAAACTGTTGGGCAGGATAGGGTAGGATTCATTGACAACACTGGGGTTGGGGGTGGGATGTTGTCCAAAGACCACTGGAGAGTAAATGTGTGCTGGTTTCTGCTTCCAGGTCTCCAAACATAAGACTATAACGCCAGGGAGAGTCATTTAGCTGTTCTGGGCCTCTTTAAACTCAGAGGTCTCCTCTTCTACATGGTACATTTGTCCAAACTAAAAACAGATCTCAAATATATTCTGCACTATATAGATTTTTTAAAAGTAGCTTCAGTCTCCTTTAATGTGAACAATTGCATATTGACTTAATCTCTTCCTCTCTCTTCCCTTCCTTCACTCTCTCCCTTCCTCTCTCTTTCTATTCTTCTCTCCTCTTCCCTATAAAAGCTACCACCTCATCCTGGGCACCCTGGTTATATCAACTTCAGCTATGAGGTAATTTTTCTCTTTACTAATTTTGACCATTGTTTGTGTTAACAGTGCCCTGGGCTCTGTAAAGAATAGTGTGTTGATTCTTCATCCCAGATGTTTCTCAAGTGGCCCTGATTTTACAGTCTCTACCACCAGCTTCCCAGTTTAAGCTCTGATGGTTGGCCTCAAGCCTGTGTTGTCCCAGCACCCTCCTGCCTGGCCACTCTGACTCAGCCTCTCCTCCTAAATATGACTGTGACTTTACCCATCATGAACCACTGCTCAGGGAGGCTCTATGGTAGGGCAAAAAGTCAACTCTGACTGAACAGCTTGGTTCTATCCCAGCTAGTAAAATGTAAGGATTAGGTAAGATGTTATTTAAGATTCTTTCTAGCTCAACAAACTCCTGATTCTAAGATAGTCACACTCTACATGTGTCTCTCATTTGGCTCTGCTGAAATATTAGTGACTAAATGGTATATGAGAGACTCTGCAGAACAATAGAATGCATGAGTTTTGGGACATCAGGTTTGAGGTTCTCCTCAATCTCTTACTAACTGTGTGACTTTGGGCAATTCATTTCCTCTTTCTGGAACCCTGGTTTCCTCATCTGGAAAAAGGAAATAATTATAATAATATTTCAAAATATCGTTTGGAGAGTAATATAATTAACAGATATGAAAAGTGCTTTGTCAACTATAATATGAGCAAAGTTACTATTTTTTTCGTATAAATTAAATGCCATATTACCATATAAAGAATCCTCAAACCTAAGGTTAACCAAGTATATACACTGTTCAGAAAGGAATAGAATTCTTGCTTCTCTCACAGATCCAGGTAAAAATCTGTGTTTATTTACTTATACAAGCTGAAGACAAATGTTAGTAAGAATCTGAGGCAAGATTTTCTGTTAAACCTAAGAGATTGACAAGTTTGATCAGTAAATCTGTGTTCCTATGATGAGGGACAGTGTTTGTACCTCATTTTGTCCCATTGTGACATCAAAGAAAAAATGAAATTAACATCAGGTCAGATTAATATGCCATAATTTTGTGTTTGCTTTGCTCTTACAATGAAAAGTGGGAGCTATGGAATTAAACAGATTGACTCTCTTTGAAACCTCAGTCAAGTTAATGAACCTCTTTAACTCCCCATGACCTTATCGAGAAAGTGAGAGTAATAATACTTGCCTCATGAAGAATGTGTGTGATGAATGTAAACACAGTGCCTGACACACAGGAAGCACCTGACAAATGTTTACCTTCTTCTTTCTTTTGTAGAACTCACATTCTCAGGCTATCAATATTGACAGGACTGGATTAGTGAGTCTATATTTCGTACTGCATCAGTGAGGTTCTATATTGGATGAAAGTAAATGAAATCAAATGTATTCTAATATCTCTTTCTCTTAAGGTGCTCACCCCTTTGAAGTGGTACCAAAGCATGATAAGGCCAGCGGTACGTAGATATCTTCTTCTTTATTCCCTGAAAATATTAGGCATGCATTTAAATTCCCATATTAAGTGAAATATGTCTACTCCACATACTGACACTAATAGGAAATTTAGTTTGTAAAAAAATCATATCTGTGTACATAGTTACAAATTTTTGCAAAGGAAAAATGAATAAAATATTCCTATGGCCATAACGGTAAAGAAAACACTGCTGCTTCTCTGGTTGGAGTCACCTGAGCCAATGGTAAACCTGCCTCTCTGTTTCTCACCAGTACCCTTCCTATGGTTACGAGCCCATGGGTGGATGGCTGCACCACCAAATCATCCCTGTGCTGTCCCAACAGCACCCCCCCGACTCACACCCTGCAGCCTCATCACCACATCCCAGTGGTGCCAGCTCAGCAGCCCGTGGTCCCCCAGCAACCAATGATGCCCGTTCCTGGCCAACACTCCATGATTCCAACCCATCACCACCAGCCAAACCTCCCTCCGCCCGCCCAGCAGCCCTTCCAGCCCCAGACTGTTCAGCCACAGCCTCACCAGCCCATGCAGCCCCAGCCACCTGTGCACCCCATGCAGCCCCTGCCGCCACAGCCACCTCTGCCTCCGATGTTCCCCATGCAGCCCCTGCCTCCCATGCTTCCTGATCTGCCTCTGGAAGCTTGGCCATCAACAGACAAGACCAAGCGGGAAGAAGTGGTGAGTATATCTTGAAGCTACTACAGTGCAAGTCCTGTGAAAAGGGTACAGCAAAATTGGCCCCAGAGTTCCAAGGTCTCCAAACAACCAAGGTTCTAGAGTTGCAGTAGTTTACAGGTATATGAGTATATTAGTCCAAGCAATATGCTATACCTTTATACTAAAAACAAATACATGTTTCATCTAAATGGCTTGGTAATTAAGATCACAGTTTTTATGGCAGGTTTCAATTGTACCATTACTGAATTTCTACCAGAATATATATATTACCAAAACCCATTTATAGAAATATATATTACTAAATCCTATTAAGTTTAAGGACAGCAGTATAAGAGACTATCAATTCTCCTTATATTTCAAAGGTTTGACTAACAAGAATAGGCTAAAGTTGCACTGAAGGCTTAAGAAAAGAGGCAGCGGGTAATTTTGAGAGTGCAAATATCTGAACAGACTACAAAAGGTACATGGGAAATCTCTTCAAAAACATACAGTAAAATTTCCTGTTTCCAGCAGTTTTCAATCTAACTTGGAGGAGGCTAAACACAGTTAGTTTTTTTTTTTTTTCTTTTTTTTTTTTTTTTTTTTGTACTGAGATTGTATAGATGAGTAAGCTTTTAGCAAGAAGTTACTGCAATTTAGCACTAAATCTTCCATTACAGGTAGCTCTTTCAAATGAATGGGAATAGTCAACAAAACAACCTTAATCTACATCCATAAACTCTTACTGCTATGTGTACGAGACTATGTGATTCAATCATGTATATGTATCCAACTGTAATTCCAATTTATACATGCTGCTGATGGTTTGCCTCTGATAAGCAGAGAGAATTGAGGTGAAAATGACCAGGATAAGAAGCCAGGACACCTAGGTTCCAGCTCTAGCTTTGCCCTCAAAGAATAGGCAGTATTGTAAAAGTTACTTCAAATGTATGGGTATTTTATTTTCTTTTAAATGGGGGAAGATCACAAAATCAGATCATTTTTAAGTCTCTGTCCAATTATAGATACCACAGTTTATGAATTTAAAAAATCATAATATGTCATAAATGGCTTTATAATTGTAAGCATGTTTATGGAAAATATGGGGCAGAATTTTTGAAAATTGATTGAATCCCAAGTAATCTGGTGCCTATCATTGGCTATTCTAGTCTAAGGTGCGTGTTCTCCCTGTGCATAGAAAATGCATTTATTTATCTCTTTATTAATAATTAACACATGAACTTCATAATTTGTTCACATCTTGACAAACCTATTTATGGAAAGGTGATTTTGGGTAGATAGTTTGAACTCTTTAAAACTGTTTCTTTTTGTGTAAAATTTGAGTATAAACATTGATAGTATCTTAGAGTTCTTTTATGGAAAACAAAATAGTGTGATAAGCTTGGAGTCTGACATGCAAGAAGTCCCCCCAAAAAGGTAGCAATTGTTATTATAAAATAATAGGCTTTAAGTATCCTGAAGGTGGAAGCAGCCCTCATGGACACCTAATATCTATTGACAACAAAATAACAAAGAAACTTTGGAAATTATGGAGTTCAACTTAAATAGTTGCACATTGTTGTGACAAAACTGAAGGCATACATGTTTTTGTAAATGGTACTTACTAGGAACATTTGTAAATTATTTTAATTGTTCCTTTTGCTATTTTTTTCAGGACTAAAAGATGAGAATATGAGAGGTGAAAAATACTTCAGTTGCTTTCAGGAATGACACAAGAACACAATGATTTTCAATTATAATCACTTAACTTAGCAAATTCTGTAACTAAAAAAGTACCATTAGCAGACAATAAAATGCTTTAAAAATCATTCATGTCTTTGTGTTGAATGAAACTTAAGTTTTCCTTTCACTTGAGACAATATATTATGAATGAATATTCTTGAATAAGGAACGAACTGCACGTTTAGTCACACAAATTCACCATTTGGCAAGCAAAAAAGGACTATATTTGTTTTTAGAGAAAATTTAAATTATACTATCTCAAATCTTTTTTGAAAAAGGAAGTTTATACATCAGTTAAAACAGTTGGTAAAATGAAAATTTATGAACATGTACAATCACTGAAACCTGAACCAAATGAAAGAAAGTTTATATGAAAAATTCTTTACATTAAAAAAGATAAACTTTCGAAGAATGTTTATATTATAAAACAAATTAGGACATGGAATACTGACTTTATACTTCACACAACATTGGCAATCAAAATCTGGTCTTTTGATCTTATTCTATGGAAAAAGATTTTTAAATGGAATTATGTGGTATGCATAATAATGTACTAAATTTGAAAGTATTCAAGTAATTTGTTTTCCCAAAAAATTCTACTAATGGACCTTCAAATAGAGAATTGCAGTGATTTTAAATACAAGTCATTTCTTTCACCTCATAATCTTTAAGATGATAAATTGTACTGCATAGTCTTTAAAATGTTAACAGATGCATAAAATGGACTCAAAACAAGTTTTCTTTCCCACTCATATTTATATTTGAATCCTTTTTTCTTCCTACACCCACACAGAATTGTAAACAGCCTTTGCAGGGTTTATAGTACACGCATCCATGGTAACTTTATTCTAGTACCTTTATGATTAAGGCCCCTTAATCATTTTCTGGAATGAATAAACATAACTTTACCAGAAGCGTGTCAATATTCAAACAAATAACTTGATTTTAAAGAGTTTAGAATCAATTTTTAAAGGTAGAAAAGCTTTTAATCAATTGGCATGGACCAATTCTAATCAATTGAGTCAATATATATTAAGCACACTCTAGGGCAAGGCACTACTCCATGTGCTGGTGAACATAGTATGTCCCATCCTTAAGGAATTTAGAAGCCACCGATGGGATAAAATAAGCTCACAAATAATGATTTAAAAGGCCAAATGGTATTAATACTATAACAGAAGTAAGGTCAAAATATTCTGGCTAATATAGCAAATATCCTTGGCTAGCTGTCCAACAGCTTTACTCACCACTCCTTCCTTGTTGGGAGGGCTGAAATCAATTCCAGCATTCAGCCTGCCACCAGCTCAGGAGAAACAAGTCCCCTCCCCTGCCCCAGAAAGCAAATGTTCATTCCTCCATGTCAACCATGGCATCAATTACTGTAACGCTATTTCCCTTGCTGGTGATTGGTTTAGGGATGGGTTATGGTGGAACTTGAACACTGAATGAGGCCAAGGGGAAGTCTCCTGGGAGAAGAGTAGCTTCTGGGAAAGAGACTTCCCTCTAATTAGAATGCACAGATACATACTAGGAAAAAGTGCCGTTTGTCTTTACATCTATTTGTTTGAGAATGTGATGCCTGTCATCTTGTGACCAGAAGGAGCAAGCAGAAAGATGGAAAGCCCCTAGGTTCTTGATGGCATCCCTGTGCCAGGGAATTAACCAACTCTTGAACCATTTAGCTCTAGACAGATTGTGGGTCCTAGCTGATTACTAAGTCATGATATCAATGCCAAAACCCTAACCATTTATGCCCTCTTTCTGTCTATGCGTGTGCGCGTGCACACACACACACACACACACACACACACACACACACAGAGGGAGAGAGAGATTGATTTATATATAACCATAATTCAAATCACATTTTGAATTACAAGAAAAATGTCAGGCTTTGGACTCTGAAGACTTATTCACTATGAACTGATATGTACTGCCTAAGTTAATTTGATAAAAAACTAAAATTTGTCTATTAAATCTCCAAATGTGCTTTTAACATAATCATTTTCATGACAGTTTTCTACAACGGTCATTGTTCTACCACATTAAAGAACATATGTTAATCACAATATAGCATCTCCTCAATGGTCTGAAATAAGACTTATAAATACTAATCAATGAAGTGTGTTGTCTTGGAGAGTCACAGAAAATAATATTCTTATTCCTGTTTTAACTGGTCTCTTGTTCTGTTCATTACTCCTCTTGGCTATCACTTCTTTTTGTTAATGTATACCTACATCTTCTGATATGTAGCTTATTTTGTAGACATATTCTTTCTAACAAATGAAGTGCACTGGCTTTGGGATTGTTATTTTGGAAGCTCCACAGTCACTTTGAGATTATTCTATTTCCAGACTCTCCAGCTTTGGAAAATGGCTGCCACTGACAAAATTCTGACATGTAGATGTATGTGGCTGTCACTATACAGTGATACATAAGGTGATATAAATTGAATAAAGCAAAGCCTTTCTAATTTATTAAAACCCAAGCTTAGTCAACTGCCTAGTATTATAGATATTTGAATTAATATGAAAGAAAATTACAAGATATTTATGACCAAGACTCAAAGTCCAGGCTGAATAACAATACTGATCATAAATATACTAATAAACCCAAAATTATATGTATACAATACTTAAATCGGTAAAAAAGCAAAATCAGATTATTTACAATGCTTTGCACCATCTTTGGAATTAAGCTAAAGAGATGAACTCTTGAAAAACAGAGTTGAGTAAACCATCTCAAGGCAACTCCTATCTTACAATAACCATTCCTACTTTACTAAAAAATTTAAATTTTGCTCTGCTCTCATTCAGTCTTTGTTGATGAGGGTTTCAATATGCATAACTTTTCCAGAGCACAAATACATGTCTAGTAATTACCTTAAGACATTCATCAAAAATGCACAAGAAGATATGTACAAAGATATTAATTATAGCATTATCTATACCAGTAAGTAATTGAACCTAGCTTAAGTTTTCTTGAATACTGTGATAAAAAGTGTGCTTTAAAAGAAAATGTATTAGTGGGGAAAGTGTGATAAAATAAAATTTAAGAACTAGACTGTATGTCATATATGAATGTCATACATGACTATAACATGTAAATGGCTTAGACATGTACATATAAACATGCGCAGAAAAAAACTAGTAAGAAAATGTGATTGTTTATGTGAAGATTCAATTTTTCTGCAATAAACATGAATTACTTCTGTAATCAACAAAAGAAATTTAAGTTTCTTTAAAGTTTATTATCCCTTTTTTTTTTTTCCTGCTTCAGTCCAGACACACCTT